CTGAGGGCATGAGAATCCAGAAGGGCAGTCTGATGTCACCGTGCAGGCCTGGACCGGCCTTGTTTATTAGAGCAATTCTTTTTAGTGGAAGGGGTTTCGGATGCCTGGAGGGCTGTATGTGAGAGGCCTGGGTCCTCTGGGAATTGACCATCCAAGGAGGATCACCGAGACCCGACTGCAGGCAGAATGGCAATTTGGGGAAGAAATGGCTTTTAGGCAATGGTCATTTGTATTAAAGCCCCTGACGGCCATCTCACCCAGTTTCCTGCTAAATTCCTTCCTAGGTGGCCGGATAGGAAGACATATTGAACTCTCAAAGTTTGTAGACAGATACGAGCCTATGCTGGGATTTATGCCGGAATCTCTTATGCACAGGGTTGCTGGGACAACATGGAGGCTAGTATCAGAAGTCCCAAGCTGAGTCTCTTGGCTGGCACATATTAGCTGTGTGGCCACAATCTAGTTACTTTTAACCCCTTCCTGCCTATGTTTTCTCACAGGTAAAGTGTGGAAGAGGAGAATCTGTTCATAGTGCTGGGATAGAATCAGACAAGATGATAAATGCAAAGCCCTGAGCTCAGAGTCTGGTATACAGCGCGTGTTAAATATAATCCTTCTGAGTACTTATTATGACTCTTTTTAATGATTAAGAAAGACCTCTAATGGTTGACCTGAGACCCAACAGCTAGACCAGAGGGAGCAATTTAGATTTCACTTTGCCACTATATCCCAGGCAGCCGTAGCACTCCAGGCCAGGCAATGCTGGGGTCAGGGGAAAGAGCGTTCCAGACAGAGTCCAGCTATGACCCTCTTTCCACAGAGAAGGCCCGGGTGTCTGCCCACAGTTTGTCCAAGTGCACACACAGCAATCCACTCCCAGGGTGGAATCCCAGCTCCGCTCCCTGTGTGAGTTTCTGCAAGCCACAGAACCTCTTTGTGCCTCAGTTTCCCCATCTGTAAAATGGGCTGCTGGAAACCTTCAGTGAACCAGTGTACGGATGTTTCTGTAAGCAATGCACTCCACATTGTGAGTGTTCAGAGGTAGGTATTTTGATCATCATCAGACTTTTCAGACCTTGCTTCTGCCTGGGCATGGTTTTCATATGAGGGACTTAATGAAAAACCTCCCTCTGAGATTCTATTTGTCTCATTTCTCCTGGGATGGATGGAGTGAGGGCGGGGGGGACTTGGGGGCCACATTTCTGGGAGCAGCATAGATAGCCTATGGGGTGTTCCCAGTTCTGTTTTTCTGTCAAATGAGGATCTCCTGAACAGATCTGTTTTCTAGTCTAAATCTGAATAGAACCTTTTACTACTGGTTGGACTGAGATTGAGCTATGAATTAGGATGAGTCTTCATTTACAGGAGGCCTGCAGAAAATGTTCTACGTACACACATATATTCAGGAGCCAAAGCTGAGAAAATCCCAAGAGAGGTGTGGGGGCCCCACCTGGATTATTTCTACAACTTGTGGGCCTGCAGGAATCTATGTCCCTCTGCTCCATAACAGTAAAAAAAAAAAAAAAAAAAAAAAAAAAGTCAGGGGGATCATATTTGATCATAAAAAATCTGAGGTTCCAAGTGTCCTCTGTGAAATAGTAAGAAGCGAATTCTCGCACGAACTGGACCTCTCCTCCAAGTCTGTGCCGAGACACCTGTACCCTTGCACTGACTGCAGTTGGCACTGCCCATAGGGCCCTGAGCACCTCCTCCCCAGAACTTTCTCTCTGGCCAAGGATTTGAGTAGCAAACGGGCTGTTCCCCTCACAGGGGCCATCATTTCTGCTTGTCATCTTTGGGTTTGGTGTTCTCAGCCAAGGGCACCATCTGTGAGCACTCCCTGATGACTTTGACAGCAGCTCAGTTTGGACCCTTGAAATACATCAGTTCTACACCGCTTCGCTCCCAGCTCCCTGGGGGGGGGGGGGGGGGGTGGTTTCAGAGAGGTGGGTGGTCTCTTTTCTCCTACCTGGAAGGTAGACTCTTCAAAGACAGCCTTGTTCTCCTGGCTCTGAGAATCAGGGGTTCTGCTACATCCTATGGACCACCCCCTCTTAGACTCCCAAGTGAGAGAAAGCAGTACTCACTACACTGTGGCCAGGAGCTTGAGTGACCCAGCTTGGTGGACAGATTTTAGTTAAGGTCTCATTAGGGCTTCATAGAAAGTGATCCGTGCCCTTGAGCTTCCTACCCTTTGTGAACTGTTAGATGTTGCCATGGGTGACAGACATTTGGGATGATGCCCACTGCTTATAGAACAACATTGCAGAGGGAGGGCTGGAGAAAGGGATCCATGGTACTTAGGGCATCTTCTTGTCCACTGTTTCTGGACCTCTCTCCTCCCCCTCTTCCTCTTCCTCTTCCTCCTCCAACTCCAATTCCTTCTCCTCCTTTTTCAGAGCCACCCCACCACCAGGAGCTTTTTAAGACATTGGTTTCCCTAGTCGCCTTACCCTATGAGATTTTAATAGCACAGATACACTGTACATCTGTTTATGTTCTGTGGCCCGAGGAGAGCCACAAACGATTGTAATATCTAAGATTGTTTGTCTCCCAGGAATCCATTTTCACCTCATTGAGGGTGTTACTGTTTCTATAGAGAATGCATATTCTAGTCTGAGATGTTTTGGCCATCTAGCACCAGATGAGCGGGAGTGATTTGGGGTGAGCCGAGGGTCAGTGCAGGTGTTTAACAAGCGTGCATCCGTAGGAGACTAGGAGCCACAGGGAACTAGCCAGGAAGACTGGGCCTTTCTCCTTTTCCTACAGCTTCCAATTTCCCACTTTCACAAATACTGGATGACTATTTTGGGGCAAATGTATTAGTCTGCATTTAAGATAGTTTCCTTGCCTTGTATTTTTCTTAAAAAAGTGAAGTTATCAGGGCAAAAGGGATCAGCACTTACAGCATCTTAAATACTATCAGCCCGGTATCCGGGATGAGTGTACCAGGGAGGCATAAGAGAGCCTATCCCTTCTCTGTATCTCTACCAACATTGAGCAGTATTCTTTCTAGAAGTATTTGCTAATTTGAGAGGCAAGATGATACCTCACTGTTGCTTGATTAACCTTCTCATGATGACCAGTGAGGATGGAATTTAATTAATTAATTAATATTCTGAAGGTAGAATTTAATTAATTAATTGATTGATTTTGAGGGTGAAATTTTAGATCCTCTATCCTGTTGAATTACCCATTCAACTGGGGTAAACCAGTGATCTCCAGTAGCCCAGTGATTGCCCCACCCATTTGGTTCTAAATCTTTTCTTTCTCACTGACTTGTCACTCCTCCCTCCCCGCTTGGGTTTTTTTTTTTTTAAATCTACACTGCCTTGTGTTTCTGGACTTCTTTTTCTGAATTATTGGCATCTTGATGATGACATCTGCTCAGCTTTTTGAAATAGGTTTTGAATGAGGGCTCTTTGAAGGCAGTTGCACTCTGGGAGTGGATTGATGTGTGTGACTTTGGCAACCTTGTGTGTAGACACCTGGGCTGTCTGCACCAGCTGGGCTAACATGTGGTGAGCTCTTGGTGGAGACGCCCTCTTGAGCAGTCTAAGGGTGCAGAATGCCACGCTGATGAGTCACTGAGGCTTGGACAGTACCTGGAAGGTCTGTTTTTATTTGAGTTGGCTCAAGTTCACCTTTTGGTGAGGGTCAGATCTGGCATGAAAGATGTGGAGCCGAGCAAAGGAAAAACAAGCAAGAGATACCATTCATTCATTCTGTAAGTACATACTGAGTGCCTGCCCTTGTGTAGAATATACAAAGAAGTTTCAGACTGGGTCCCTGACCTTGCAGAGCTCACAATGTAGGCAGGAAATGGGCATGCAGATCAGTGACTGAGATACAGGCTTGATAAGTTCTATGACAGATGCACATGAAGGTAGATGGGGAAACAATTCTGTCTAGTGAGATGAGAGTCAGAAAGAAAAACAAAAAGGGAACATGATATTTAAGTTCCATCAGAGAACAAGATGATGTTCGTCAGGCAGACAAGTCAGGGAAGGCATCCTGGATGGAGGGAACAGCATGTACAGAGGCATGAAGCTCAGAAAAAGCATGGCATTTTGTGCAGAGGTGGGGAGCAAAAGACAGCGAAAGGGATGGTGGGACTTGAATGCCATCCTGGAGTGGTTTCCTTATTTTTAGTCAAAGATGCCACTTACGTTTATAAAGCATCATCAGTTGTGCTTTGGGGGGGGGGTGAACTACTGTATGGGAGACAGTGTGGAGGTGCGAGTGTGAGAGCAGAGAGCTACCCCGCTAGTAATGTTGTAATTATAACTAGGTACATTGATTCTTGCAGACCACAGTCTTCAGAAAGGGACTAGTGATTGAATTGACAAGGAAGGTAGAGCAGCACAGGCATGGGAGGGGTAAAAGACTTGATGTCTCAGTTTATGTGTGGGTGACAGCATGAAGGAAGAGACGGGGATGAAGCTGCAATTTCCCTCGTGTGTACAGCTAGGCAATTTGAGGTCCAGAAGGTACAGCAGTTGTGAGGGTGGCCATTTGAGTGAGGGGTGCTGGTTGGGCATTTAGATATGGAAATACTGGCAAACAATTAAGAATATATGGTATTGGATGGATTAATATTGCCAGTTTCTTGTGTTTCCCTTGATATTTTAAGGATGTTGGACAGTTTTCAGTGATGCTACCGGCTCTTCATTGATTGAGGTCATGGCAAGAAGAAAAGCGTGGTGATGTTTATTTCATCGGGTGCAGTAGGTCAATTTCAACAACATTATTTTTTAAGATTTTATTTATTTATTTGACAGAGAGAGACACAGCGAGAGAGGGAACATAAGCAAGGGGAGTGGGAGAGGGAGAAGCAGGCTTCCCGCAGAGCAGGGAGCCCGATGCGGGGCTCGATCCCAGGACCGTGGGATCATGACCTGAGCCAAAGGCAGACACTTAACTGACTGAGCCACCCAGGCGGCACCCCCTTTTTTTTAATCAACAACATTTCAACTCACACTTATATTTTCTCCTTCCAGGGGACGGCCAGGTGGACTTTGATGAATTCATGACAATTCTTGGCCCCAAACTGGTGTCTTCAGAAGGTCGCGATGGTTTTCTTGGAAACACAATAGATAGCATATTCTGGCAGGTGAGTACAATTTTTTTAAAAGATTAATTTGACAGTAGATGTGTGCCTGGGACTAATTTCTGACTCTGAATTCTTGAGCTTCTGTGCAGCATGTGAAGATCTCTTCTGGGCTAGAGTGACATACGTTCCTTGAACTGGATGTCTAAGTAGAGGTCCATACTAGATCCTCTGAACGAAGTATCAAAACTATACCATTTGAGGTTTGGATGAGCGAACTATCTCCCTATTTTTTCCTTGTACCAGAAACAGTTTTACATTTGGGAGAAATGGTATTCCTCCACTTCTGATTCACAAAAGTTTCTTTCTTGGGAACAATTAGAAAGTACACCATTGGTATTGCCTGAGCCCTGTTCTGTCCCTGGTTCCAAGACATTCTTTTGCTGAGAGGATGACCAGGTTGCCTCATGTGTGTAGATCCTATTGATATCCTTGTCCTTAATAGGACAGAATGGTTTTATCTAAGAATTTGTGTTCAGTGCTTCTCAATTTGCTCCTATTTCTGTCTCGTAAAATCTCTTAGGACATTTCAAATATCTATGTTCAAATTATTAAGGTGCTATGAATCATTTTTATATTAGTTCTTTAGTCTTAATATGTGCCTATCAGTTCATGATTATGGAATTTGGGAAATGGGTTATCAACCACTATTTTTAAAATCTGAATGAAATCATTTGCCAAGTTAAATTGAATTGATGGTTATACATGTAAAACATCACTCCAGTATAGTGAGGTTTCTTTAATTTCCTGATGTGTTTTTTTTTTCTTAACCAAAGATAATTCTCCAATCTAGGTAAACATTGCAGTTGACATGTATCTCTAGTCTTATTCTGCTACCCATCTTGCATATAACCAACAAGCAGTCGTTAAGAACATATTACGTGCCCTATAGTCTGTCACTGTGGGTTTCACAAAAGACATTGAAGACATAGTCCTGGCTATTTAAGAAATTGGTTGGAGAAACACTCTTAAGAGAGAAAAAACACAAAAGGGATTCTTGGTGTGATGGTTCCTAGACTAATCATTTGTTAACGGCCTCAGCACCTCACACGTTGTACACAGTAGATCCTTAATAACTATTTTTTGAATAGAATGAATAGTTCCAGAAAGGAGACAAATGTGATCTTGAGGGGTCAGGTAAAGCTTGGGGAAATGGGGTACTTGCTTCAAACTTTGAAATATGGCAGGAAGTGACAAAGGAATAAAAAGGGTGTTCCAAGTTTGTCATGATGGGTTTGCATAGGGTGGAAGCAGTGAGCACAGGGTAGTCATTGACCATGATGAAGGTATAGTTTGAAGGGAAAGACCTCAAGCCTCGCTGGCAGAATGGTTTTAGGATCTGAGCAAAGAGAAGACCGAGATGATCCCAAGGTCCCTGAATGACACGGATAAGGTCATGGAGGAAAGAAGTCTTTGTGTGGAGTTGAATTCTAAGTTGAGCACGTTGACTGTAAGGTGAAGATCAGACAACTAAGAGAGGGAGGCAAGTCCTTGCCCAGCTGCACGCAGGAGCAGATCAGGGATGAGAGGCCAGGGCTGGAAATCCAGATTTATTATCCATCAGAGCTGGTGGGTGAAATCATGGGTGAGGATAAGCTCATCAAGAGAAGTTGCATAAATGAAGATGAGCAGAGAAGCAGGACCTGGTTCTGGAGGGCATCCAGGGGCAGGTAAGAGTGAGACACAAGAATGTGTCCCCACGCTGCCTCCCCAAACTGTGGTTATGATCAGCCCTGACTCTCCCCAGAGAAGGACCTCTGCGGTTCTACTTGTCGTGAGACAAGAATATTTCACTGCTTATGTAACCCTTCAGGTGTGACTCAACACTTGGAAGGACAGACAGGTAGAGGCCCTTGGCAGAAATAAAAACAATGAACACATAGTTAAGAAGATGGGGAGACACTGTTTCTCACCAGGTCATCTTTCAGCCCATACAGATCCACTCTGGATGAACATTCCAGAATTCCTTCCCTGCCTGATTTCTTTCTTCTCTGCTGTGTTTTATTCCCCACTCTGAGTGCTCTCTCTGCCCTTTGCCTCTGCCTTCATGGCCCTCTGTAGCCTGGAAGAATGCTGCATGCCTTCTAGGCTCAGAGCATTCTTCCTGAGCCCCACCCCGGAGGGCAAGGAGCTCCAGGTATTTAATCTACACCTGATACCTTCCGCGTTCTTCAGAGTTGAACACCTACACAAGGAAATATTTCTCTCTCTGTCTTGACTGCCTCTAGCATAATTTAGACATGCTATTATGCTCACAAATTCTCTGTTTTTGCTTTATTAAAGACCCTCTTCCTCACCCTGGGAGACAAACAGGAGGGGGAAAAGTGAATAAAGGGGGAAAATCCCATTCTGAAATATTTAAATGAATGCAGGAATGCTTGGACGCTGTGGCAGTGGCTTTCTTCTCCTGCTGGTCCTCACACAGCTCAGAATTTTATGACTAGCAAAGGAGAACAGAGACATCTATCAATTCTCAGTAGTCAGCTGTACCCTCCCACACTGCCCCCCGCCATCTGTCTATTCAGAGACAGCGTGCATAAATGGTACTTAAAACATCCAGAGCATCCGGTCCTTCCTGGAAAAAAAAGTCCATCTTCCCAGTGCTTGAGTGATCTTTCAGGTTTAAGAGAAAGCTCTGTGTGTGTGTGAATGTTCGTATATGCATGTGTACGTGTGTGTGTTTACTTTGCTACAGTGCTTGAAGATGTTATAGAAGAAGAGTAGCAGAATGGTGGCTTTCTGCCTCTGAATATCCAGGCAGGGGATATGGATATCAGGAGGTACGGATACTCTAGCAAAGAGAAGATTGTTTACGTAGGGCACTCTGGCAAGGCTTCCCACTAGGGATAAAGTCACTTTCTTGTAGAGACAGATAGGATGGTATGCTTGGCAGGGCGCATGAGCGATCTGTTTGCTGCAAAATATATTACACCATAGGTTGTGATATAAAACAACAATAAATATGTACAATATCATGGTTTCTCTGGGTCAGGAATCTGAAAGCAGCTAGCCACAAGTGGTTCTGGCTCAGCGTCATGAGGTGCCAGTCAAGATGCTGGCTGGGGCTGTGATCATTTGAAGGCTCAGCTAGGGCTGGAGGAAGTGCTTCAAGGTGGCTCCCCCATGTGGCTGGCAGAGTGACGTGGGCTGTTGGCAGGAGGCCTCCGGTCCTTGCCACACAGACCCCTCCCTAGTGCTGCCTGAGTATCTTCATGATATGGCAGCTGGCTTCCCTCAAAACAAACGATGCAAGAGAGCACAAGGCAGAAGCTGTGGTGTTGTTTATGGCCTCCTCTTGGAAGTCACACTCCGTCATTTCTGGAATATCCTCTTGGGTACACAGCCCATACCTTTTCAGTGAGGGAGAGGAACACCTCCTGGAGAATACCCGGAGGCAGCGGTCATCAGGGGCCATCTTGGAGACTGGCTACCGCAAAGGGTAAAGACTCTATAATTGGCTTCAGCTTCTGGTCTGACATTGCCACCACAGACTTTGGTTTTTCCCAGCCTTTGGTTTCTTCCTACCTCAGAGGAAAACTGTGACCACGGCTGTTCTCTGTTCTGAGAAGTGATCCTAGAAGGCACTAGGCTCATCTTGCTAATTAAGTCCATTTTCTCGTTCTCCCTCCTCACTGGCGTTCTAGCCCACAGTGCCAAGAGGAAAATAAAATCAACTGGGATTCTGCAACAACAGCTTCTTCTTTTTTTTTTTTTTTT